TGAATACAGGAATACAGGAATAGTCTTTGAAATAAAGTTTCCTGTTCTTTGAGATGGGAATAATTCTATTTTCTTCAGGGGAAAGAGACAATTTAATGGAACCCTTACTCGAAATAACCCCAAACAGTAGGTACTCAAATTGTTATGACTGTACTTCATCGCAAGCAGAACCCGACTCCCAAAGTCAATCTGCAGTGTCCTTCAGCAATAGCTCTGGGCCTTCTCTAGCTCTCCTCTCGTCTTACACTTTCTCCTGAGAACTGATACTGTTTTTGATCTGGCACTGTTTCTGCTAGCGGCCCCTCACCATCAACCTAATAGCTGATCTTAATTATACTCTTAGCAGACAAACGTCTCCTAGCCTCCCCTGGAGAGCATCCTCATATCTTCAGCTAGGAGGTTGATTCAGGCCAGAATTGTCAGAGCAGTTATTCCATTTTCCATTGCTCAGTTACTCCTATCTTCAGAATTTACACTAAATAATTACAAATCTAGATGCCTAAAGTCTTCTTATGACAGTTCTTGATTCTGATGTACTCTAACAGCTTATGACCCACTTCGGTTGTCAGGGATAATGCCAACAGGTTCTTTCAACATCCTCGACCTGCATTCACTTCAGTGAATTATAAATTCTGTGTCATCCATGACCTCTGTTTTTCAAAATTCAGAAAAAGTGATGACTAAGCAATCACACGGGGATGAGGAAAGCTCTTCACAAAATTGGGCACAGACTTATTGGTCAGGACCCACGTTTTGTAACAAACCACTTACAGCTAAAGTTTCCTTTTTCTCTACCAGGACTATCTCAACTTGTACCCGGAAAACAATTTCATTCTATACTTTCCCTGACATTAACCTAGATTAAGTGATTTCTGTTTAATAGTAGCTTATATGTGCAAAGCTCTTAATGTGTTTCAGTTATGGCTTAGGTTTCTATCACCAGTCTATTTACCTACTTTATGTGAACATGAAATTTTTCAAACCCAAAGCTATAACCTGTGTTTTGTAAATGGGAATCAAGAGAAGATAAATATGTCATGGGTGAAAGACTGGGTTAGGAGAGGAAGCAAACACATTTCACAATAGCAAGCGATTTGCATTTATTTTATTTCTCGGGCTGCTTTCCAATCGTCACACTTGAGGGGCCTGTCTAGACAGAGTCATTGTTGTTTCTATAGGCTTGACAATGCTTATTTATATAAATAATAAAAGTTCTTAGAAATATTTGGCAATTGTCATTAAGTTGTCATGAGCTTTATGGGCCTTTTCTTCTTAAATTCTCACTCATATTCACCATTCCATCTGGATGTTTTTAATGATATATGAGGGTCTTAGAGAAATAAATTTAAAAATAACTGTAACTGACAATGGTTATCAAAATCACTATTAAACTATGAATGTATTGTTATTAATTATAGTCTGAAATGAAAGTTTCATTTCATAACACTGTTATGTTACTCTGGGCTCACTTCAATTTCTATTGATTTTTTTTCTTAAGTATGGCATAAAAGCAATTGTTTCTTTGCATGTCTTTTAAGTCTTTTTGTTCAAAGCTGAGCTTTATAAATAATGTGTTGCAGCACTTGAAAGTTATATTATTTCTTAAAAGTGCTCTTACTATTTCTCTTTTTTTAAATTTCTTTCTTTTTTTTTTTATTTGTCAGAAGTGGTGTGCACTTGGCAGAGAGAGAGGGAGAAGAGAAGTGAGAAAGAATACCCCATAGGCGACTGTCATGCTACAATCCCTTCTCCTCCATTTCTCCCTGCATTTGATATTTGGGGCATGCATGCACACATATCCAGCGTGAAAAGATATTGAATGACGAAGTGGGGAGATTAATGTCTCTGTACTGACTGACATGCATGGCATTCCCTTTTGAAAAAGCAATGCAATATACTGTAAAGTTATATGCAATCCAATGTAATATAAACAAGATTATGATGATAATGAAAAAATAAATAAATAATTTTTAAAAGATTAAAGAAAAACATTTAAATATAT